AAACAATATCTTCTGGTTCTGTGCCTATTAACTGCGTGCCTTGATGAGATGCTCAGGTGCTAAAACTCCTGATCTATCAATCAAACAAAACGTACTGCAGACTAAGATTACATCCTTACCTGATAGTCAGTCTAGCGGGAAGATACTCCAACAACAACTGGAAAGCCAATGATCCCCCTTCCTCACCACTTTGGACTATTCCTACCCTTCCAGTGATGCTCTTCAACCTAGTAGCATTCCAAGAGGCGCAGTTGTGGATTATCAGCAAGCACTTTCTCTCTTGCATCCCTCACCTATAAGGGATTTTGTTGGACATAATGCTTCTTGGGTGTCCCAATCCCCTTTTGGTGGCCCCTGGGTTCCACAGAGTTCCACATTTGATAGCAGTGCTCATTTTCCTGTACATCCCATCACAGAAGCAATAATTTAACTGCAGTAAAGAGGCAACTGTGCCTAATTCTTCTGTCATTAAGCAGGTTTCCAATGTTTTACAGGACTCTGTAGTCCTGCTAATGCCTTTGCAGGGGACTTCCCTGCTTGATAACAAAAAAGTAACATCCAGATTAGTCAGAATTCTGCTGATCCAAAGCCTAGAAAAAGAAAAAAGTCAGTTTCCGAGGACCCTGGGCAGATTACACTTCATTCTCAAGCAGAGTCTGTTTTGGCTACTGTTGTGAATAGTCATGCCTCTACACCTGCTTGTATTACAAGCCCTGCTACCATTATTTCGAAGTTGCCCGCTAACAATTTTATTACATCTGTGTCTGCTGATATATAAAAAATGATGATCGAGATTCAGATCAGAAGGCTACTCTGTCTGCAGAGACCCTTGGTAAACTCAAGGAGGCACAAAAGCAGGCGGAGGATGCTGCTGCCCTTGCTGCTGCTGTTGTTAGTCACACTCGGGAAATATGGAATCAGTTGAGAAGCAAAAAAATTCTGAGTTGGTACCAGATGTTGAAACAAAGCTGACTTCCGCAGCTGTCGCAATAGCAGCAGCAGCTGCTGTAGCAAAGGCTGCAGCTGCAGCTGCCATGTTGCCTCAATGCTGCCATCCAAGCAAAGTTGATGGCTGATGAAGCATCGGTCTCAAGTGGCTACAGAATTCCTCTTCTAACTAATGCAATCTCTTCTGATAGCGTGAATCTTGACAAGGCAACTCCTGCATCCGTCTTGAGGGTGATGCTGCTGCTACTAGTTCAAATTCTGTTATTGTTGCTGCAAAGGAAGCTTCTAGGAGGAGGGTAGAAGCTGCTTCAGCTGCATCAAAGCAAGCCGAAAACATGGATGCCGTTGTTAAGGCTGCTGAGCTGCAGCTGAAGCAGTATCACAGGCTGGGAAAATTGTTATGGGTGAGCCTTTCCCATTGACTAAATTGGTAGAAGCTGGTCCAGAGGCATACTGGAAAGAATCCCATGCAGTTTCTGAGCCAGATGATGCTGCCAAGAACATGCAGACAAAGGTGGTAATGTGGAGGCTCCTGGTTCATTTTCCCGGCATCCACAGAGGTTCCCATTGATAAGAGTGAAAAGCAGAGTAATAACCATGAAATGTCATCAATTCTTAGAGATATGGCCAGAGAGTCGATGCAGGATCATTCCAGGCTGACAGATGGGATTCTGGATGCTGCTGCTACAATTGGAAATGATAAATCGGGACAAAAGGGCCACAAAAGGTCCACTAATGCTGAACATGGGAAAGGAGAGGAAACTTTGAAAGATAACAATATGAGGGAAGGTTCCCATGTTGAGGTTTGTAGATTGTACTTGATATATAAGTTTAGGTTTTAATCTTTTGTAAATTATATTTCACTAAGTTCTAACATGCTGTTTTATTTGATGGAAATATGTCCATATACTGGTGCATTTGAAAGTTTTTGCGTTTGTCTTAGTTGCTTTAGGGAAGCGTTGCAGTTGAACATGTTTGTTGATCTTAGGTTCATTATATGATCATTTACAATTTACCGTTTTCTGATTTATAGGTATTGAGGATGGAGGAGGCTCGAAAGTAGCATGGTACCCAGCTGGTTTCTGGATTTGAAAGATGGCAAAGCTTATGTGTATTACAATGAACTTCGATCAGAGGGTGAGCTATCGCATAGCTTACTTTGGTCGAATCAACTGGGTGATGATAATAAATAAAGACAATTTGTCGGACAATCCTTGTCCTTAATTTTTAATAATCCTATGTTGATGTCTAGCCAACTACACTTTATTTTGGGGAATAATGCATGAGATCGTTTCTATTCTGAATCTAGAATTCTACTTGCATGATGTGTGTCTATTGTGGGGAGATAAAAAATACAATTAATACAACAGAATGAGGATGTCTTACTTTTCTGATGTATTTCTACACATCTTGTGTGTTGCAATAATTCTTATGTGAAAAGCATCTTCTTTGGAGATAACTGGAGGTTTTGTCTCATGCACATATAAATTAAGAAGGTTGCTTTCTTAACAAACTTGTTTTGACTGCTGGTCTTACAGATGGTGAAAGGCTAAAGGAATGGGTGGAGCTTGAAGGGGAAGGTAATAGAGCACCCAGAATACGCAATGCTCGTCCTATTACAGTCATGCCATTTGAAAGAACAAGGAAGAGACGCAGGGGTGCCATGAAGGACTATAATTGGTCCGTTGGAGATAGGGTTGATGCATGGATGCAAGATAGGTATGCTTGCATTGTTTTCTATATTTCTTGCAGTGCATCGGATCAAAAAGGAATGGTACTATTGAAGATAATATAACCATTAAAAAATCAATATGAATTATGAGAATGTAGTGCAAGGATAATTTGTCATGATTTGCTTGCCAAACTAGCAACATGAGCGGTTTGGCTTATTTCCCTTGAACTATACTACGAGATGAATCCATAATTTCTTATGCATGCTCAACTCTTGCTAGCTGTACAACGGTGAAAACTGCTAAGATTGTTTACTAAATAGTGGTAGATAAGCTATACAAGTAATATTGTCACTTGGGTAATGTTAGATTTACCGTCTTGAAATATTTAATTTTCAGCTGGTGGGAGGGAGTTGTCAATGAGAGGAGCAAGAAAGATGAAACATCGTATACTGTCCATTTTCCTGGTATGTGCGACATTAATAATCTTGTTTGTAATCTGCTCTGTATTAATGTCTATGCAGCCTCTACTCTGAGAATTTTAAAGGTTTTCTTTGCTATTTGTACTGCAGCTCAAGGAGAAACGTCTGTTGTCAAAGCATGGCTTCTACGTCCTTCTCTGGTGTGGAAGAATCGTAACTGGGTTGAATGGTCCAGTTCTGGGAATGATGACAGCTCTTCCTTTGAGGTGATATTGACTTATATTTATGATTGATGTTTCTCTGAAAATACTTTAATGGCTTGTTTGTACCAAGTAGTTGATCTGGCTTTCAGGGTGACACCCCACTGGAAAAACGACCAAGGATTGGAAGTCCCGTGGTAGTTTCCAAAGACGAAGGAACAAATAGTTTTGACAATGAGGAATCCGAAAAACCTGATGACACGAGATTGATGGATTTACCTGTGGCTGGAAAAATATTTAACATTGGTAAATGCACCAGGGAAGAGAGTAGGCTTGTTTCACAAGAATGAAACGTTCGGGTTTAAAAAAGAAAGGTTCAAGGGTTATTTTTGGTGTTCCTGAGCCAGGAAAGAAGAGAAAGTTTATGGAAGTAAGCAAACATTATGTTGCAGATCAGAGCAGTAGAACTCATGAAACAAGTGATTCTGCTAAATTTATGAAAAGTTCAATGCCTCGGGGACCTGAGCCTGGTGGAACAAAAACTAAAACTGAACCAAAGGGTAAACGAATGGTTGTATCCAAGCCAAAGGTTCTCAGGTCTCGAAAAGCACCCAGGGTTTCTAGTAGAACTGTTCCTCAGAAGGACAGCTTGTCAAGCAATGTGGGTTCTGAACCTGATGATGCTGAGAATATATCAGGAGAGCATAACACGGAGTTCATATCGATTTCAAGTTCTAATGGAGCACCAGAGGACCGGGCATTATTTTCTTCTATGGCTGTCTCATCAGATGCACCCCCCAAGAAAGCTTCTGTCTCAAATGCTAAATCTGAACCTATTAGTAAAGGGAAACTTGCACCGGCTTCTGGGAAGTTGCCCAAAGTTGAGGAGGAAACTAAAACCGTCTCTGAAGCTGTTGAACCTCGTAGATCTAATAGGAGGATTCAGCCGACATCAAGAGTAAGTAAATAGATGTATTCCTTTGTTCTCTATCTTTGTGCCGCTTACTGATCTTGTTTGTCGTCCACAGCTCTTGGAAGGACTGCAAAGCTCGTTGCTCCTCTCGAAAGTTCCGGTTTCACATGACAAAGGTCAAAGCAAGACTACTAGAGGTGAAGTTTAAATTTCTTATCACTCGGTATTCTTCAATCAGTGTACTCTTTTCCGTTCCTTCCGTCTTGCTTCTCGTTGAATGTTCACCGACCATGCGTGTAATGTATCCTATATAACAGGAAATAACCAAGGTTGAGAGGAAGGCAACTGTTTTGCGACATGGGAATCCAGTCTCTTGGGAAATTGGATGAGCAACAGGCAACATTAAAGAGTGTAATTTATGACATGGCAGATAGAGCTAGGAACCATAATTGCTTCTTCAGTTATTTGGATTTTGAGATGTAGCAGTATATTATATAATATTTATTTTCAATTGTTTTTACCCTTAATTTTGTTTATAATTATAATCTGAGCTCTCATTATCGTCTCGACTCCTATTTGCACCAGCTCTAGTCTCAGCCCGACTTGAACTGACCCAACCCGACTAATTATTTTATTATTTTCATTCAACAAGATAAAAAGATAATTGAAAAGATAAATATAAAGAAAAATATCATAACAATTATCTTTAAATATATATAGATATTATAATAACTATTTCGAGTCAAGTTAGGTAAAAAAATTGTTTTAAATGCAACTCCGTTCTTAACTATTTTAATATGTTTTGAAATAGAATATTTTCTATTTCAATATGTTTGAATTAAAATATTTTGAAATATTGATCTTATAGAGTTGGATCAAGTTATAAATATTAATTTTAAATATTTCGATAATCTCTAATTACAAGTGATAAGAGATCTGAGAATAAATTCCCTATTTAACCAGAAAAAAAAGAGTCAAAATCATGTATCATTGTAGAGCATTTTTTAATAAATTAATCATTCAAATAACATAAATGTAGTTCACTTGGTCAGGAAACACTTCTTCATGCTCATCCTCCTTGGCTCCTACAACTGCCTCTTTTTCCTCCTCGTTGCTTCTCTTCCTGGATCCTTGATTTTCTTTAAACTGTTGAAACCGATGATCTCTGCTCTCGTTGCCGCCGATATCACTTGCCGGCTTCTCGCATATACAAGAATATGGATACTCATGGAATTCACCACGTCCGGCTCTCATCTCATCCGGTTCTCCCATGAATCCTCTTTGAACCTCTCTCACCTTTTCGGCAAAGGTATCCCAATCCATTTGATCCCTTTCCATCAACAATGGACTGAGCCTCTTGGCATTTGGTCTTATGGTCCTCTTGTGCCCCATGTACCTCCTTCCAATCCAAAAACAACAGAGAAATTACACAGAGAAATATAATAAGCTGCTTAAGATGTGACGGGAACAACTAGATTTCTCACCTTCGACCGGCGAGAATCTTGGCCATGTTTCCGTTATTATTGGTGACGAATGCATTGCTTTCGTAGCAAACAATGAAGTCGATGGCTGCAAGGGAAGAAGAGTGAGGAAGAAAAGGCTTCAGCTCTTCATGTGCAAGCGTCTCTTTTGTATACAAGTTTGGAAAGAGATGTCTTAGTGGTGCCAGAGTCTCTTCTCCACCATATATTTCTCCTGATGCAACGTAGATGTATGTGTCGTTTTGGAAACCAAGTGCCCTCAACATCAACCCTACTTCATGGGGAGTAAGCGGACATTTACCTCGCCTTCCCTCTGCAACTGCATCGCTGTCCTGCACGAATACGAGGACAAGTGCAATTTAAGTAAATGCAGGGCAATGTTTATAAATGGTTCAAAAATCGTAAAGGGCGGTATCTCACCGGCAATGTTTCCCATCGTTTTCGTATCTCTCCGAGCTTGTGTCTCTCCTTGTCTCCTCCTCCGAAGTAACAACCGGAAAATGCTAGCATATCTTGTCGTTTTCACGCTCTCAAAGCTTGTTTGAAATGCTGCTGGCTTCCGATATTGTTTATAGATACCTCAATATCAAAAACTGTTAAGTATAACTCATAAATATACCAATAAAGAAGACAGGAGATGGAGCGGGGTGAGCGAAACGAATATCAACTGTCCTTACAAAGAAAGTCTCGTTGTGGGTTACGAATTATGTGGGTTGTGGGTACGGGGCATAGCTCCCGCGGTATGATACAGGGTTGATCTTGTAATTATGTACAGGATTTTATTATAAATGAAGATGTAACTAGACCTAAAATATCATTGAATAAAACTTTAACGCCGCTAACACCGAGGACGTAACACATTGTCGAACTCATAAAATTCTCGTGTTCTTTTTTTTCTTTACTCGTTTTCGTCAACAAAAACTAAAACACAAAAAGAACATGAAAAATTAGAGATTAGAGGGAGAGATGCGTGAGATTCCGCGTGTTTATGGGGAAGTTGATGAACGAGGAAGAAGACAAACGGTTTTTTAAAATATGCCATAATTACGAGGGAAAGTTTAGTTAATGCCAGGGTCAACTTAGTAATATCACTAAAAGCTAATATCATACATTATGTTAAAATGATTTTTTAATCATTAAACTTTTAAATATTATAAAACAGTTATCAAAATTTTTAAATGATTTTTAAATTTTTTAAATTATTATAAAAGATTCATTAAATTTATTAACATATTATAAAAAGATTATTAAACTTATCAAAATTTATTATTATCTATAAAACTATTTTTAACATTTTGATAAATTTAATGTTTTTTATATTATTTGAAAGTTGATGACTAAAGTGACTATTTCATCCTAGTTTAATTTATAGTTTATTTACCCTAAAAACTAGTTTGAATTCGATACATAATATATTTATATTAAATGAATTAATTTTATGTTAGTTGTTAATTTTATTGAAGGTAACTATCCTAAAATTTTATTTGTATATATCTTATATAAATATTTTTTTTATAATTAATATATATGTATTGACCGAGAAAAATAAGTTTAAGTTATCTTGACACAACTAACGACCGAAACTATGCAGTTTTCGTTATTTCGTTACGATTTCATCCTCCTCTTGTTCCTTTTCCTCTGTTTTTTCCCACGTGCTTGTTTTCCCGCCAGAATCACACCGGAGCAAATAACTGTCACAACTACCGACGACACACATACGCACAGGGCCGCGTGGTTTAACTTCACTCGCTTTAAGGACGCCGAAAACGGTAGCCACGTCATCTCCGGCATGTCGGAACTCAAGAAATACTTCCAACGTTTCGGGTACCTCTCGGTCCGAAACGAAAGTTTCACTGGCGCTTACGACACCCAATTTGAATCCGCCGTTATCTTGTACCAGAGAAAACTCGGCTTACCGGTCACCGGGAAGCTCGATTCCGACACGACATCGACGATCATAGCGCCGAGGTGCTGCGTCTCCGATTCCTCCCCCGCGAAGATCCATGCAACGAAACACATTGCCTATTTCAACGGAATGCCCAGATGGAACAACGATTCGGTTTCGACGACGACGACCATGACGTTAACCGCCTTCTCCCCTTCGAACATGATAAACTACATAACCTTACCGGAAATCCGAACAGTTTTCAAACGTTCGTTCTCGAGATGGGCTTCGGTGATTCCCATAAACTTCACGGAAGTTCAAGAACACGAGGAAGCCGATATAACAATCGGGTTTTACGGCGGCGACCACGGCGACGGGGCCTTAGGAGTGTTAGCTCATTCATTTGCGCCGGAGAACGGAAGGATTCACTTCGATGAAGATGAAACGTGGGCCGTAGATTTCAAGAAAGCGAAATCTAAGTCGGCTGTTGACTTGGAGTCGGTAGCGACTCACGAGATCGGTCATATTCTAGGGTTGGGTCATAGCTCGGTCCAGGACGCCGTGATGTACCCGAGCTTGAGTCCTCTAAGAAGAAGAAGGGAACTGAAACTTGACGATGTCGAAGGTGTTCAAGCTTTGTATGGGTCGAACCCTAACTTCGAGATCAGCTCTTTGTTAGAATTCGATAATGTTTCTAACAAAGGAACTGGACTTGTCTGTAGATCGTCAAACTGGACTCTTTCTTTGGTAGTGCTACTGTTCTTCATTCTCTTGGTGATAGTTTAGGTTCTATTTTTAGGGTTATTTATGGGTGAAGAAAGAAAAAAAGTTCACACCCAAACAATTTTTTTGAAAACAATTCTTTGGTCCTTTAAGTAAATAAATTTGTAATTTTATTAATTTATTTATTAAATTGAAGATTTTAAAAAAAATAATACGAGGTGATTATAAGGTATATTTTCTTAATTATTGACAACACCTACGCAATTGCAAATGGAACTGCTTGAATTAATACCTCTAGAAATAACATCTTCCCTTTGATCACATAAAAATGAGATAGCCTTTGATAAAAAGATAAATCAAATGTTAAATCTTTTCTAACTTTTATTCAGTTTAATCTCTAAATTTTTTATGTAATCCTGAATTGATTTTCATTTATTTTTAAATTTTATAATTAATCTAATATGAATATTTATAGTATAGTTAATTTAAACGTAATTAACTATTATTTCTTTCGCTATATGATTCTTATTAAGTTAAAACATAAATTTTATAGTTTTTTGGTTAAAGATAACATTTAATCATGTTAAAAACACGATTTTTTTCATATCGATAATTATAGTGATTTGGAAGTCTAATAATTTATTGACACAACTGGCAATGTTTAAGATTTTTATCCATTTATTAATTACAAAACGGGTCGGTCCAACATTTATTCTTAACAAATACACATGAATTTGATTTGTATTAAACTCATGAATATCAATAAACGCATCAAGTGACCATGGTAAAAGGAGACAATCACAAACCACGCAGCTTCTTTTATCACTCGACATTTTCCATTTCGATCCAACTACAAGCAGTTTCTTTTATTACTCTTTGGTCCCTCGTGAGCTTTCTCATTGCACTCATCTCCCTCCATTTTTGATGGTATGCAAAAACGTTAGACATCATTACATAAACATAATTAATTCAATCAACTTTGATTGAAGCGGCATCTCGTTGTGTGACCCAGTCGGGTTCCAAGTCCCTTTGAGTTTTGAGCTGCTCGAACTGCTGGATCTCTTTCGTCAAATCGCCGTTGTGAGCATAACCGGAGATCATAGCATTCCAAGTCACCAAATTCTTTCTCGGTAATGATCGGAACATAGACTCCGCGTTCTTAGCGTGCCCGCATTTGGAGTACATGTCAATGAGAGCACTTCCCACAACAACAGATGTATCCAAACCACGCTTTATTGAAAATGAGAGACCTGCAATTCCGCTTAGGATGATTGAAAATGAGAATTGTCCATTTGAACATCATTGGAGTGCATTTTATTGAAAAACCGGAGAGCATCCCGTGGTCGGTTTCGATTAACATATCCGGTCAGAATCGAAGACCATGTAGCTGAATTTGGACTCAGTGTATCGAGTAAAATACCGATCGCATCATCTATGTTTCCGAACTGAGCAATGCCACTGATCAATTCATTGTAAGATATAGTATCACGGACCGGCATTTCACTCCATACACTAAAGGCTTGCTCAAGGTTTCCATTATTAGCACAGGCCGCTAAAACCGAATTCCACGAAATAATATCCTTATCATCATGCTGTCAAAAACCAAATTGGCGTCGCCCACAGCCCCGCATTTTACATACGAATCAATCAAGCAATTCCCAACAACAATTGCACATTCAAAGCCAAACTTCAAAACGCTGGAGTGAATTGACTTGCCTAAATGCAAAAATCCAGCTGACCACAAAACGAGTACTCATTGCAACAAATTTCGGACCTATGAAGCTCAAGAAACAAACCCAAAGCTTTACGGAACTTCCCAGTTTGAACATGCGCATAAATTATAGAGTTCCAAGAAATGACACTCCGTCGAGCATTTCAACAAACAGTTTACCCGCTTCATGTTAGGAAATAAACCGAGTACGAGTAATTTCCCTATAACCAAATTAGTGAGAATGCGAAATAAAAGCGGAAAAATAATACCCAAAATTGATAACGGAGTTCAACCAATTGTGCTTACGTCTCCGGGCTGTTGCAGATCTTTTACTAAGAGAAAATTTACAGGTGTTTACACAACACACTTGAGAGAGAACTAGAAGATTTTGGGATGATTTTGAAGCTAAATGAGCTAGGGTATTTATAGTTGAAACTTAAGGGCTAATCTTGTAAATACCATAAATTGCAAAGGACTAAAAAATGCACTTTCCCATTCTTTTTCAAGGCAGCCGGCTGCTAATTCATTAGCAGCCCATGTGCCTTTATAATTTTCAACAATCTCCCACTTGAAGACTGATTTTAATCTGTCTTCAGACCTCGATCGATGCAGCATCATTTCTAGTTTTGTTACTCTAGCATGCCAACTGAAGCTGAACACAACTTCAGTTTTTCCGTGGTCACCGTCTTTGTCAACATGTCTGCCGGATTTTGAGCTCCACTGATCTTTTCAAGTTTCAAAATCTCATCTTCCGGAAGAGACCAGATAAAATGATATCGCAATTGTATGTGCTTCGTCCTGAAATGAAAAGACGGATTCTTCGCTAGATGGATAACACTTTGACTGTCGCAATACAAGACATTGTTTTCTTGTTTCTTGCCTAACTCTTCCAAGAAACTTTGGAGCCAGACCATCTCCTTGCTGGCTTCCGTAACAGCGACATATTATGCTTCGGTTGTGGAGAGAGCAACTATCTTCTGTAGTTGAGAAACCCAACTCACTGGCGGTTCCTCCTAGAGTATAGGCATACCCTGTAGTGCTCCTTCTGATGTCAACATTTCTGGCTAAGTCAGCATCTACATAGCCTGTCAGTATCGTATCTCCACCTTTGAAACAAAGTGCTTTGTTTGTGGTACCTCGCAGATATCTGAGGATCCATTTGACTGTTTCCCAGTGTATTTTGCCTGGATTATTCATGTACCTGCTAACAACTCTCACTGCTCGAGCAATATCTGGTCTGGTACAAACCATGGCATACATCATACTTCCAATTGCTGAGGCATATGGCACCTTCACCATGTGTGCACGTTCTTCCTCCGTCTTTGGTGACTATTCTTTGGAGAGTCTGAAATGAAAACCTAAAGGTGTACTTACTGGTTTAGCATCTTGCATGTTGAACCTGGAGAGTACTTTGTTGATGTACTCAGCCTGTGATAACATCAAAGTCCCCGAATTTGTGTCTCTCTTGATCGTCATCCCAAGAATCTGCTTTGCAGCGCCCAGATCTTTCATAGCAAACTGCTTCGACAATTTTTGCTTCAAGTGTATAATCTCTTGCATGTCTGAGCCTGCAACGAGCATGTCATCAACGTACAATAATAAAATAATGAAGCTGTTGTCGAACCTCTTGATGTAGCAACAATGATGCTTGCATCTGGTAAAACCACTGCTACCCATGAAACTATCGAACTTCTTGTACCACTGTCTAGGAGCTTGTTTTAAACCATACAAGCTCTTCTTCAACCTGCATACCAGGTTTTTCTTACCTGCCTCTATGAAGCCTTTTGGCTGCCTCATATAGATTTCTTCCTCCAAATCACCACGAAGGAAAGCTGTCTTTACATCTAACTGCTCAAGATGTAAATTCTCTGCAGCTACAATTTTCAACATCAGTCTGATTGTAGACAGTTTTACGACTGGAGAGAAAATTTCATTGTAGTCAATACCTTCTTTTTGCTGAAAGCCTTTGACAACCAATCTTGTTTTGTAGCGTTTTCTCCCATCGTGCTCTTCTTTGATCCTGTAAATCCACTTGTTATGGAGCGGTTTCTTTCCTGGAGGTAATTCAGCTAATTCCCACGTCTGATTTGACATAAGCGAGTCCATCTCATCTTTCATGGAAAACTCCCACTTGATTGAATCATCCACCTGTATCGCTTCATCATAGCACTCTGGTCCACCATTGTCAGTCAGTAACAAGTAGTGCAAAGAAGGCGAATACCGTTGGGTTAGTTTAGGAATTCTGGAGGAGCGTCTCAGTTCTGGTGTGCCTGGTTCTTCCTCTTGAACTGCTTCAGGACTGATCTGAACATCATTTCCAGAAATCTCCTCGAACTCAGCAAATTCCTTTGTTTCAGCTTCGGTATTACTTGATTCTGCGGTTGACCTGTCTTTGTACATCACATTTTCATTGAAAATGACATCTCTGCTTCTGATGATCTTTCGATTTTCGTAGTCCCAAAACCGGTAACCGAACTCATCACCACCGTAACCAACAAAGACGCATTTGTTGGACTTGGCATCAAGTTTACTTCTTTCAGCAGAGTTTATGTGTACATAAGAAATACAACCAAACACTCTTAAGTGTGAAAGGTTTATTTCTTTCTTGCTCCAAGCTTCCTCTGGTATTCCGCCATCCAAAGGAACTGAGGGTCCACGGTTGATCAGGTAAGCTGCAGTGTTGATAGCTTCAGCCTATAGAAATTTGGGCAATCCGGCATGTATCCTCATGCTTCTGGCACGTTCATTCAGAGTTATGTTCATGCGCTCTGCTACGCCATTCTGCTGCGGTGTTATGGGAACTGTTGTCTCCATCTTGATCCCATTGTTTGCGCAGAAATCTCTGAATCTACTGTCTCTATATTCTCCTCCATTATCAGACCTCAACCGCTTGACTTTCAAACCAGTCTCATTTTCCACCATGGCCTTCCATTTTCTGAAGATATCGAAGACTTCTGATTTCTTCTTCAGAAAATAAACCCACACCTTCCTTGTTGAATCATCGATGAAGGTGACATAATATAGTGAGCCTGCAAGAGATGGAACTGGGGATGGTTCCCATACATCAGTATGAACCAATTCTAACCTTTCTGCCTTGGGTGTCTTGCCAATCTTTGCAAAACTGACTTTCTTTTGTTTGCCAAAGATGCAATCCTCGCATAGTCCGACATCTACATTCTTTAGATCCCGGCAGCTTCCCTTTTGACAAAAGTGTATTCATCCCTTTCTCACTCATATGGCCAAGCCTTTGGTGCCATAGGTTTGATTTTCCATTAGCATCTGCTGCAGCAATGATATTCTCTAAATTTGAGGTTACATAGAGAGTACCAGTCTTCTTACCACGAGCAATGACGAGTGCTCCTTTGGTAATCTTCCATTCACAGCCTGAAAAAGTTGTGCTATATCCTTCTCCATCAAGCTGTCTTACATAAATCAGATTTCTTTTGAGGCCAGGAATATGTCTTACTCCTTTCAGCGTCCAGGTGGTCTGGTTTGGCAACTTTAGTCGGATGTCTCCTTTTCCGACGATCTTCAAGGTTTCATCATCAACTAGATGAACCTTCCCAAAATCACCACTGACATAGTTCTCCATGATTTCTTGGTACGGGGTGGAGTGGAAAGATGCTCCTGAATCCAAGATCCATGATTCAATCGGACTGTTGACACTAAGAATCATGGCATCACCTGTCTCCTCTGTCACGTTGGTAGATTCCTGTGCACCGGTATCTTTCTTCAGTACTCGGCAATCTCTTTTAAAGTGACCTTTCTTGCCACAATTATAACAGGTAAAATCTTTCTTTCCTGTTCTTGATTTGCCCATTCTGGATTTTGATCTGCCATGATTTGAATTTCTTTATGAAGTTCTTCCTCTAGACTCCGTGTGCAAGGCTAAGGAGGTTGATGCTTCACCCGATTCTCTCCGTCGAATTTCTTCACTCAATACCAGATCCCGAACATCGTCGAATTTCAATTTGCTGTTTCCCGACGAGCTGCTGACTGCTGTAACAGTAGCATTCCAACTGTTTGGTAGAGATGATAAGAGAAATAAAGCTCGAACTTCATCATCGAATTCAATTTCCACTAAACTCAACTGGGTTGTGATTGTGTTTAGTTCATTTAGGTGTTGTGCCACCGATGCCCCTTCCGTCATCCGCAAATTGAATAATCGCCTCATCAAATGAACTTTGTTTGAGGCTGATGGCTTCTCATACATACTGGAAAGAGCCATCATAAGACCGCCGTGGTCTTTTCCTTTGCTATGTTGAAAGCAACATTGCGGGATAACGTCAGTCGGATAACTCCGAGGGCTTGTCTGTCGAGAAGAGCCCAGTCTTCATTCTTCATGCCCTCTGGTTGCTTTCCTGAAAGAGGTTGATATAGATTTTTCTGGTAAAGAAAATCTTCAATCTGCATCTTCCAAAAGCCAAAGTCCGCACCATTGAACTTTTCAATTTTCACCTTCCTTTCGTCTGCAGCCATCGCTCCCACTCGAATATGGCTTCGTTTGGATCGTTTCTGACAATTTCTGCGAACCGCCGTGTATTAGAACACCTCCGTCTACAAACTCGTATCGCCGACTGAATTTCACTATTCACGAAATTCACTATTCATATGAATAGTAACCTCGCAGAAAATTGACAAAATTCACAACCAAAAGCTCTGATTACCAGTTGTTAGAAAATAAACCGAGTACGAGTAATTTCCCTATAACCAGATTAGTGAGAATGCGAAATAAAAGCGGAAAAATAATACCCGAAATTGATAACGGAGTTCAGCCAATTGTACTTACGTCTCCGGGCTGCTGCAGATCTTTTACTAAGAGAAAATTTATAGGTGTTTACACAACACACTTGAGAGAGAACTAGAAGATTTTAGGATGATTTTGAAGCTAAATGAGCTAGGGTATTTATAGTTAAAACTTAATGGCTAATCTTGTAAATACCATAAATTGCAAATGACTAAAAAATGCACTTTCCCATTTTTTTTCAAGGCAGCTGGCTGCTAATTCATTAGCAGCCCATGTGTCTTTATAATTTTCAACACTTCACATAGAGAGTCGATTCGCCAATAATACCTCATCAAAGCGTTACAAACAAACGCATTGGTGGCGACAAACCCAGATTTTAAAACGTAGTAATGAAGCTGTGAGCAGTAAGAGTCAAGACCCAGATCAGTCGAGACCCGAACCAAGTGAACTAGGGAGTAGTCGTCTGGTTTAATGCCGGAGTGGAGCATCTTGGAAGCCTCGTGTAACGTAAGGTCCATGTCGGTGGTGATTTGATAAGAGATTATATGATTGCTGCTGTTGTTTTAGCTGGTAAGGGTAGTTATTGACTCTCCCCAAGAGTGTTCTTCTCATAGCTTTGAATTTATGGCTTGGAAATATTAACAATCTTTTGGATGCTCCAAACCATTTGAATATATCCAACTAATAGAAACATATCCAAAAAAAGAAAAGCACTTTATGATGAAGACATTTTCATACTGTTTCTGATTTAAAAAACTCAAGCAAATGCTGCTGTTTTACACTCAAGCCTATGTTTTGAGTCTAGGGATTTACTAGTACAATGCTCATTATGGTGTCATAAAAGAGGAATTTAAATTATGAGATAAAAAAAAACACGAATTAAAAAGAGAATTTATTTGCAGTGCCAACTACAATAAACCAATTTCGTCCGGACAAAATGGAGCCGGTCGATATTATGCAGGCACAAAATCGCATTATCGGCGAGAGTTTTCGATTGGGGAGCCAGGACCTCGATTGCAGCTCTTTGCGAGAACTTAGTCTTTTCTTTCTAATTGGTTAATGTAGCAGCAAGGCAGTTTTTCATCCCCATCTGATAACGGCAGAACCCCAAGTTAGACCTGCACCGAAACCTGAAGCCGCAATCGTGTGGCCTGTCTTCACCTTCCCGTTTCGAACAGCTTCGTCCAATGCCAAAGGAATGGATGCAGCACTTGTATTGCCATAATTAGCCAGATTTGATATGACCTTTTCCGGTGGGAATTCTAGACGTGTTGCAACTGCATCGATAATCCTCTGGTTTGCCTGCATTACACAAATTCTAGTTAGATTTTTCTGGTCTCTAAATCAAAGGAAGATATTATTCAGATACTGTCCTCGGCTATCATATATGTGAACCAGTAGGCCACAGTTTATCGAAATTCCAATCGCTATGGCTTTATTTGTCACGGTTCATGGCATGATCAACATTTAATATTTTTCCCAACTGTAATGAAGGACAAATCTTGGCACCAGTAATATTGGAGTGTTCGGGGACCCGGTTAGGCCAGCAGGCCAAGTAAATGGCACGACACATTTTAATGAAACTAAAATGTATACCATCTTTGTACATCTAAATGATATATATATATATATATACCTGATGGAGCAGTAACCAGTCAACGTCCGATGCTTTGAGGTCTGCTTTTTCCAAGGCAGACTCAATTGATTGCGGCACACATCGGACAGCAAAGCGAAAGACTTCTTTACCATTCATCTGTACGCAGGTATAAGAGGACCTTTTTGGAGGGAATTCTAATGCCGAACCATTAGAACCCAACAGATCATTGATTTCGTTGTCATTTATGGGGGCACCGAGATGTCTGAAACATCGTGCGACAGCTCAGTCAAATTGCTCAAAAGAAGCAATATAATATTTTTAAAAAATCCGCAAAAAGAGAAGCACATACCTTGCACCTTCACCATCACTATGCAAATCAAAGCTTAATAAACCATCCTCCTCAGAATCACAGGCCTGCAGAATCGTTTGTATCTGGATCAGTGAATGATATCACATTCCATAGCAGAAGAGATGTACATGGTAACTATTTCTTCGGAAGAAACCATTTACCAAATCTCATAGAGCTTAATAAATAAGCTAACTTGAGAAAGAGTGAACTGGTAAAAACTCGACATTGCCTCGTATAGACAAGAGTGGACTTATAAAAAGATGGTATTAGTGTGTTACCTGAACTACGACAGCACCAGCAGCATCCCCAAAGAGAATGCATGTTCCTCTGTCGGCCCAATCAACAAATCGAGAAAGAACATCAGCTCCAATTACTAAAACATTACGCAAGCCACCTCCTGTAATTCACAAAGGTAAAAGTTTTATTCCAAACCACATTAACGGCTTGGTTTAAGAGTTCGATAAAGTGAACAAATTCATTACCCCGAATGTAGCAAGAAGCTGAGAACAGACCCAGCACAAATCCACTACATGCCGCAGTAATATCATGCGCTAGTTGAGATTTTGTGCAGCCGAGCTCTCTTTGGACCTTACGACATAAATAAAGGTTGCCAAAACACAAACAAATTAGTGATCCGTAAACATACACAACCACTGTCTAAATAAGCACGTAGCAGCATCAAGACCCACATACAAAACTGAAGACAAGTGAAGCTCATGGAAAATCAACATCTTCTTGAATTATGCTAACCAAACAGTTATCTAAAGACTCCAAACCAAACCATGTTCTAAAAGTGGTATTTTCAGCAACACTTGATAAAATCAGCTACAACGTTCATGAAAATCACTAGAACATCAGTTACTTCCCTCTCAAAGGGAATGCCTAAACATAAAATCAAAATCTCAGGTCAAATCCCTATTCTTCAACCATAATTCATGTATGTTACTAAGTTTGTAATCTTCATGTAGTTATACTACTTCGCATGAGTTCCCACCACACAAAAAATTCACGGAAACCCCTAATGAAACCCAAAAAGGTGAACCAAAAGAAGTTTTGAGACCAATATAGAATCTACTAATATCAACAAATTTTCTCGAATACAGTGAAGCACAAAAAGCATGCATGCACGTACTCAAAGTTTCTTATAATACAAAAAACACGTATGATCATATGTGGTAATCAAAACAAACAAGTTTGTGAAGATAAATCCGAGACATCTCACTTTTCAATTCTCTCTTTATGTTCAGAATATTTAGAAGCAGTCTTAAAAAAATACATATAATAGAAGCATGCAATAGTAGATTTTAGACATCTAGATGTAGCTCAGAGAGAGAACAAATCATAAAAATTGCTATTTTATTAAAGCATCCTTAAAAGATTCCATGATTAATATTGACCCGTTCCTCCATACCTTGGGAGCATCACCGAAAATATCTTCCGGAGTAGATGTGCACATCAGAATCAGGTCGAGATCATCAGGTTCAACATCTGCCATTTTAAGGGCTTTCCTTGCCGCTTCAACTGCCAGGTTTCTTAAACTTTCCTTTCCTGTAAGAGCAACAGTTAATTGTTATTTCCTCCACAAAGATACAAGGATGGCAAATAAAAAGAGAGAAAATGTAAGCTTCAATGTTTCGTAAAAAAGAAAAATATGCCACAAGCTTTAAGCTAGGGATTTTTATCACATCAATGGAAGTTTGATACAAGTAGGAAATGCCGACAAAAGATAATATTCTACAATTGCACTGTTATGCATTAGACTATGTTCCAACCTGAAATAACCCGTCGGTTACGTATTCCAGTGCGGACAGATATCCATTCATCAGAAGTATCGACAATTTTTGCAAGATCATCATTGGAAACTGAAAGAGATGGCACCGCTGATCCACAACCAACTAGCTTGCAGCCTTTACTGACAAGCCTGTATTTTCCAGCAGTAAAATTGGAAAGTAGAACGTACATCAGGAAAATCATCATCTTTCGATGTTAAACAAGTATATGAAAAAATAAAAGTGAACCAGCATCTCAATTCTGAAAGCCGGACTAGATTTGAAGCACACAATAAATACCACTGACAGGTGTAATCGTTTGACACGATAAATTAGGAAATTTCAATGTCAAAGGGGATTGCAATGTAAGCATTTTACTTCAACTTAACCCCAAAGTCCTGCAAGGCTTCTCCATCGCCATTATAAGAGAAACAAAATGCTTCTAGTGTGAAACTATCGACGGGTCAGGCTCAGAATGAGATTTCTTTATACATATGGCGGAAACTCAAAACGACTAGTGATTTCCTCTATTCCTATTTCATAACCAGAGCAAATTTTACTATATCATATATAGACATGGATAACAACATACATTATTTCAGTATCAAGCTCGATACGATAAGTTGTTCTTGATCTGCCACATGCAGTATCCTAAGCTGATGATTATTTCGAAGTACCATTCTTAAGTTGGATGCCGAGTTTCATTAATAGTTAATTCAGCTAAGAACACTTAGAGCATACAAATGTAAACATCTTGCTCACACCGAGTTTAATAGATACATGCAGAGCTGCCTTGCATACACTAGGTGGATTTGCAATTTCAGCTCATCACTAATTTTCGAGCCAGGATTATAATCCACCTAGCGCAAGCATCACAGTTTCTGAGCAACACAACCAAATGAGAACCTAAACTCTGCAATTTAAACTCCCCCATGGATCTCCAGATGCACATGCATGTGCTTCTCGCTAGTGTGCAGGAACCATTAACCCTTGAACTTCACAACAACTATAACATGCAAACCACAAAACCCCAATAAAATTAAAACTCAATAATTTATCAATTTTATTGTGTATAATAACAAATATATTTGGGAAATCAAAACCGAACCAATAATCATACCTAAATCAATACCCAAAAGCCAAATTAAACGCAAATAATCAACCAAACTAGAATTAAATAAGAACCATATAAGCACGAGAAATTTACTTGGGTACTCGAGATTGAGAAGGGGAAACATGCGTCCCAGAACCTACAACGCCACTTGAGCACACTACCCTCCTAAAGATTCCTACAGAGAAGCAAAACCCAGATCGAGAAACGCCTGTTGAAGGCTGAAGCTTTCTCCTCAGGGTCGGAGCCGAAGGTGTTAAAAAACCCGATGCATTGGCCATTTACACACCTAAAGAAACCCAACTTCACAACAGCAAAAGCTAAAAATATAGCTGGAAAATGAACGGTAGAGAGAGGGAAAGGCAAAGCTTTGAAACCTCGTATGAACAAAAGGAAGAAAGCAATGATCTTTTGGACGCAATAGGAAGAGAAACTCAAACAAATAAAATTTCGGGAATCAATTAAGCAAAAATAGAGTGAAGCATAGGATTCAGTTGGGGTTTGTTTCTAGGTGAAGATCTTTGGAAGGTCCGAATAGTGAAAGAAAAAATAAAGTAGGGATTTTGGCAACCAAATATGAGGAAACTCCAATGGGTAGCCTTGTATTTTTGTCCCTATAAAAATGCGTTTGATTAACAAAATAAAAGATTACACGAAAATAAAAGATTATCAGGAATAATATTATTAGATATATTATATTTTATATTTGGTTAGTTTAACAGTGATAAAAAATTATCGTATTTGGTTAAATGAATAAAATATTATTAAATTGTATATTTTATCAAATTGTACTTATTATATATTTATTTTTTAACAAGTTGAATTTTATTATAATATTACTATAATTAATTTATATATATTTTTTTAAATTTTAATTTATAAAATTTATATAATTTTTTTTATAAAATTAAAAAGATAAATAGGTTTAATGAAAGAATAAAATTTTATTTTAATTCTTGAACTTCATATAAAATTATAATTATGGATTTTTTTTATAAATTTAAAATAGTTTAAGGACAAATTTATAATTTAATCTTCGTGAAATTTTTATTATTCAACGACAGAATAAGGATAATTTTTTTAAAAAAAATTAAGGGCATTTTAATCCAAAACGCCGATAATCCAACAATACCTAATGGAATGGAGGTAATCACATTCTCAGTAATATACCCAAAAAATCACTGTTGATAATAAAAAATTAACAGAAATAAAATTAAACGAGAGAATGAAGATTTCATTAATTTGATAATAAGATATTACGTGAACCAAACGGGGCTTAAAAGTCATTTGTCAGTCATGCAAAGTGGTTCACCATTACCCCAAGATTTTTACGATTCAATTCAAGTTGACTGTTCTTTGCTGGGCTGGAAACAGTTTCAAGGCACGTGGCAAATACCCATTTGTTGATGGTTCGTTATTTTCAAGGTTCAGTTTGCATAGGATCAAGAGTTCAAATCCAAGTTTATCTGCTTGAATCCTTGTTAGGCTAAATTACAAATTTAATCACCTAACTTTACTCTTTCTCCTATTTTTGTCACTAACATTTAAAAGTTTTCAATTTCTTCGATGAACTTAATACATTATGTTTTTTTGTCACTAACTTTACTTCCTCTCCTATTTTGGTCACTCAGTCGTTAATAAAGTTCAGTTACCAAATTTGCAATTTACCCTTTTTGTTTATTAGCTTTTGTATTATTAAAAATTAAAAATTTAATTTTAAAATATTAATTAATTCAATTTTTTTATATTTTTTATTATGCTAAGTTGATTATAAAGTAATACATATTTTAAGTATTCTCAACCATTTGACAATGAACGTTTTATCACTTTACTACAGCCGCTGGTGCTCGAACACGTGACCTATAGGGATAACAACAATTCTTTTAACCACTGAGGTAAGTTGGTTCATACAGTTTTTTATACCTTTTAATTTAAAATTAATGGATTCAAAATGATCAAAATGATCAAAATGAACTAACATCTATAATTTATATACAAATTAATAATAAAATATGGTATAAAAATTTAACTGATATCGTTTGAATGAATCTCAAATTTTTAAATTTTGAAAAGTATAAGGACCTGTGATTGATTTTGATAGTATAGATTATTTTGTTTCAATTGAACTCCGATAATTTAGAGGAAAAAAAAAATCTAATTTACACCTAATTCATATTTAATCAATTATTTAACTCTTTTACCTAACAATTGAAGTTCAAAGTTTGCTGAGCTGCTAGCTTTTCCAAGTATTTTGTCTATTGACTATGAAACAATCAAATCATTTTTATAACATAAGCACTTATTTCATTTTGATTTTATTTCATTCTTAATCTTGTAATTATATTGTTTTTTTTTTCAAAAGATTCTGCTAATAAATAATGTCCACGTGTCATCACCATGGATATAATTGGATTTTTAAGTTGGGATTTTGATTTTATTTCATTTTTAAGCTTATAATAACGTCTTGTTATATATGATTATCTTATTTTTAATAATGCTCGTGTTGTTCAAAAAATTGTTCATGTGGTACGAAGGTTGATTTTCAACTGATTTGATTTAGAATATATTTAATCTTTCGGTCGAGTGATATCATGTGTTACCATTTATACGTGTCATGTTATCATTTCATTGGAGGACTAACTTTATTTTACTTTGATATACTTATTTTTCGCTAATAAGAGGATGACATGTGTTACCCTCCTGTTGAAAGAAAACAAAACAAAATAAATTGGGGCTAAAAGGATTTAAACATGAATCTCTTGAAAATCCAAGCACGTACTCAACCACTAAGCCAATACCAATATTTGATTTGAAATAGATAAAATAATGTATGTATTTTGTATCTTATTATATAAATACTTAACTTAAATTCATAATATTTTTTATATATTAACTTTAAGAAATATGTTTTTATATTAACTTATTAAATATTTTTTTTATTAACCTAATTTAAAAATATCTTAAATTTATTTTTAATTTAAAAATATATATTTTATGTTAAAAGTATGACTAAATTAAAAGAATATGTAAATAATAGAGATCAAATATGTTATTATATCAAAATAGGGAAGACCCAATTTCTTATCTTTTTATTTTAGAAGTCTTGGCGTTGCAATTAGATAAAAAAAAATAGGGAAGACCCAATTTGTTCCCGACTCCTTATCTTATACTATAACATTTACTTCATCTTTTTATTTTAGAAAGGTACAACGACTACAATACATTTTTTATCTTTTTATTTTAAAAGTCTTGGCGTTGCAATTAGATAAAAAAATAGGGAAGACCCAATTTGTTCCCGACACCTTATCTTATACTATAACATTTATTTCATCTTCAGAAATAATTTCGACGAAACCCTAACTGAGCCAATATATATATATATTTTTGCAACGTTCTCCCTCATCTGCTCATATTATGTATTTGTATGAGTATCAGAATAAGACAAAAGTTGATAATAACTTGAAGGGTAAAGTATATTATAAATGATTAAATTATATTTAAAAAGATCAATTCAATCATTAAACTTTTAGAAATTAAAATTATTGGCCATCAAATTATGATTCTCTGTTAAAATTAAAAGAATAAATCATCAATAAGTGATGATACATATTTATTCCCGTCAATACAATTATAACATGAGTTAATAATATGGTAAACTACATAAATGACCACATAACTCTGGTCAGGTGGCGAAATGATCATCATTTTCAAAATTGTGAGAAATATACCACTAAACTATTTAAATAGGTTCAAAATAGTAACACGACGTTAACATTTAACGGGATGTTTACGTGACAGTTAAAAAGATTGGTATAATTAGAGCGCAGGTCCTTGTAAAGTTATGTATCCGCAACTCTGGCACTCTGATTTGTTTTCTTCCATTTTGGTCGCTACATGTATATGATTTGTTTCCTTGGATTTTCATTTAATCCAATTTGATCATTTTTTTTTGTTTTTATTTTGTCTAATGCCTTGATTTGAGTATTAAATTTAAAATCTTTTATTCTAATCATGTATTAAGTTTGTAGATTAAATCCCCTAGATTTTAGAATTAATCAATTTAATCATCAATATTAATTTTAATTCTTAATTTTTAACTAGGTCCTAATTTCAATTTAATATAACAAAATTTTGTTTAATTGGGTACCCGCATACCCAATACCAGGTTTATTATATATATTATTATTTTTATTTTATATTAAATTTTTATTTATGATTCTCAAATTATTTCACTCTAACATTCTAAATCCCTAATTTCTTAAATTTTGCCACCATAAAATTCCAAATTCTTAATTTCTTAAATTATTTCACATTAACATTCTATATATTTTTTAAAATATTTATTTTAATTTTGAAACATTTGAAATTTAATTATAATTTTTGTTTTATTTTTTTAACATTTGTTTCAATTATGTAATTTGATCTTTTAAACTTTTGGTGTGAATTATATATATATTATACCTTTAAATTTTAAATTTTAGAAATTTTCTATATATTTTTTAAAAATAATATAATTCTAAAAAATAAAAAAATTTATAAACCGGGTACTCGTGACCCGAAAATACAGGTACTCGAGTTTTATGGTTACCCAAATATAGTGGGCCGGGAAACGGGCCAAAATTTTGATACCAAAAAATTCTTGGTACCTAGTTTTGAACACCCGTGTGGTAGGACTTTGAAGGAGTAAAGAGAGTGACTAAACTGTAAAACGTACAAAAGATAAGGACCTATATGGAGAAAATATTTCATATGTCAAGCGAATAAAATATGAATTTAAGCATACTTTCACAATCATCTTCTTCCTTTCATATACGTACTTTGATATACATAAGTTTGCGATTTATGCTGGGGAGTGCTCGTGGTGAAGTCAGATAATTTTTATTAATTAATAAATAATATTATATAATTAATGTTTCATATTATTAAATTAATTGAGAAAATGACAACACTTAAATCATTAAAATTAATATAATAGTTTATTTAAAATTGATTTAAGATTTTAATATTTTTAAACTAAATTTACTATTTTCGTATTTATTTTTTAATGATTATATATATGAAATCATTAAAAATAATTTAATATTCAAATTATAATATACATTATATTATAATTAATGATATATATATATAATATTCAAATTATAATCATACATTTGTAACATGTGTCGTAATTTGATTGGAGAAATAAATTTGTTAAATTAAATTGAAATTAGGATTTAATTAAAAATTAATAATTAAAGTTAATCTTAGTGTTCAAATTGATTAATTCTAGAATCTAAACAAAGCATGGTGGCAGTGCCACAAATAAGTAACTTTACAAGGACACACGCCCTAATTATACCAATTTTTTAACTTTCACGTAAACACCTGTATTAAGTGTTAACATCGTGTGATCATTTTGAATTCATTTAAATAATTCAATGGTATATTTATCATAATTTTGAAAATATAAACATTTCATGACTTAATCCATAGTTATGTAATTATTTATGTAGTTTACCATTAATAATAATATATTTATGACACATATAAACTAACGAGTTAAAACGGTGAATCGGGTATTTTAACGAGTTTACAGCAATTTTAGACATGAACAAGGAAACAAAGGTAT